AATGTCCGAAACACAGAAGTGGGAGTTCCCATGGCACGGCAGACGCTGGGGAGCCTGCCCGGCCGCTCAGGTTATCCTCCGCTCCAACCTCACCCCCCTGTGCTTCCCCAGATGTAAGGCACTTTCCACCCCAGGCTGACACATGCCACTGGCAGTCCTTGCTTTAGTTTTCCTGGCCCTAGGACACTTGGGCAGAGCCGACTAGCCCTGTCTCCAGGCCTGGCTCCCCACCCTGGGCTCTGCAGGAGATCCGCAGCAGTTTCTCTTCCCTCTGTTGAGTCCTAGCTCTGGTTTAGTCCCGTTTAACTTCCTGGTCCAATTTTACCCATGTATCCCGCTAAGAAAACACTGAAGGATTGTTTTCTAAGATTGGGAGGTTTGAGAAAGACAAACTTAGTGAGTTTTTTCCTCCTTTGATTAAAAAAAAATAGGATGCTAATAGGACAAAAATTTCATTGTTATTTGAGGTGTAAAATGAGAATCTCTGGTTAAAAAGAAAAAAAGAAAGAGAAATGGAATAATGTCTACACTCATTTTTAAGATAGTAGACATTTGAGCACATTGTACTATTAAAAAGAGTTGTGATAGGGTGGCGTTTGGTTTTGACACATTCTTAAGAGGGGCTGGGATGGCATCTTCAAAGGACAATGAATTGGCAAATGTGTGGGTCCACTTGTTGAAAAACAGTAAAAGTAGGTTGGGAAGAACTAAGAAGCCAGAAACTTACCAACAGCAAAAGCAGAAAAAGTGGCAAAATTTTTCTATGGCTGTATGTCTGATTGTTGCTAGATGTGACGAGAGATGCACATTCTTTCTTACCATAGTCCTTGCTTTCCTATCTTAAAGGACTCATTAAAATTCCAGAATATATATTTTTTTACATCAGAAAAACCTCAATCATTTTTATTGTTCTTGGTTTAAAAAATTATTGTTTTTTTTTTAAAGATTTTATTTATTTATTTGACAGAGAGATCACAAGCAGGCAGAGAGGCAGGCAGAGAGAGAGAGAGAGAGAGAAGGAAGCAGGCTCCCTGCTGAGCAGAGAACCCAATGTGGAACTCGATCCTAGGACCCCGAAATCATGACCTGAGCCGAAGGCAGAGGCCCAACCCACTGAACCACCCAGGCGTCCCCAAAATTATTCTTAATGAAATAAACAGCATGACTCTGGTATTTAAATAAAGAAGATACAGCACATTTAACTGAAGGAGTATAAAGAAGTCTTGTTCATTCAAGCTACTTGATTACATTACTAACAAACATTATCTTAGATAGTATCTAGCCTCAACAAACTAACCAAGAGATTATATATATTAAATACACATTTCTAAATGTTACTGTAAACATCCTGAAGGCAAGAACACTTTTTTTCCTCTTTTACAGTTTGGCTAACACCTATCACAAGAACCGCCAGGAGTCCACCTAACAAACAACGCCTAGAGAAGACACTGTGATCTAATCAAACAACAGACTGTAATGGCCATGTTCAGGATAATCGAGAAACACAAGAAACAAGGTTTAGAAAATTACTGAATAAGGAAGCATAAGTTAACAACAGCCGCTGATGTATTTACATCTCTTCACACCAGAGCAAGGAAGTAAATGCTGTTGAAACAGATTCTGACAACGTGTTACCCTGTTGTACTTCTGGAAGGGTCAAGGAGAATGATTCATCAGAACACCCTGAAGACTTCAATCACACACATTCTCCTGATTGCCATGTTTTGACATTTTTGTTTCAAAGTACGACACGAAGAACGGTCTCACCTTTAAATATCTCATACCCTCAACGGCTGCTCTGTGAGGAATGTGACTTGTACTTCTGGCAAGTAAAGAGTAAGAGAACAGAATTCTACTTTTTACCTGAACTAGAGAGTAGCAGCTTATGTTTTAATCTGTTACCATCAATATCTTACAAAAGGCTGAATTATTGGGTTGTTTTCCTATCCATGGGAATACCATTTTTCTAGAAATTCTCTAATGGAGGCGGAAGAGAATGGACTCCCTCCTCCACCTCTCAGGCCTGAGGAGCTACTAAAATGATCAGCCTGAGTGAGAAGCTGTGAGGTTTTGGAAAACCTGGATCGATTCATCAGGCACAGCTTGTTTCTTTCCAAGGCGTTTATGGTGGCCTAATCCAGGGTGGCAGCAGAAGCCCCGCCCTGACCGGGTGCCCTGGGTCTGAGGGACCTTGGCATAGTCTGGGGACAGAAGAGGTGACAGCCTGGACATTGTGACCAGCTACAAAATGCTGCCCTTTATTTGTCTGATAAGAAAGGAACATGCGGGGGTGCCTGGGTGGCTCAGTGGGTTAAGCCTCTGCCTTCGACTCAGGTCATGATTCCAGGGTCCTGGGATAGAGCCCCGCATGGGGCTCTCTGCTCAGCAGGGAGCCTGCTTCCTTCTCTCTCTCTGCCTGCTTCTCTGCTACTTGTGATCTGTCTGTCAAATAAATAAATAAAATCTTAAAAAAAAAAAAAGGCAACATGTGCAGAAGGAAATTTAGAAGTGCTGTTCCTGCAATGCCCTGAACTACTTTCACAGATGTTTTTAACCTTCTAGTTTGAAATAATTCAAACTTACAGAGAAGTTTCAAGAACAATAGAAAGAGCCCAATTACTCTTCTTCCAGATCACCATTACTCTGCCGCAGCTGCTTTCTGTCTCTACATACGCTCCCTTACTCCTTCCTGCAACAGGTGGGATGAGGCTGCGCACACCATGCCCCTTTACCCCTTGGTACCCGTAGGTGTACTTTCCAGTAAGAATATTCTCTTTCCTAACCACAGTCCGCAGAGATGTCATGTCCTTGACACTTAACGTCGATACACGTGTATGGTCTAATCCACAGTGCGACTGCACGGATGGACTCTCACATGTCCATTCACCAAAAACGTTTCCCGGGACAGAGCTCAGCTTGGGATCACGCCTGACCTGTCGTTAATGGGCCCCTCAGGCTCTAATCCGGAAGAGCTATGACCTCAGTACTGTTGAAGAACACGGGTCAGGTATTTTACATAATATCCTTCAAATCGGGTTTATCTGCTCTTTCTTTATGATCGAAGTCTTGGGATTTTCTCTTTTAACACATAACTGATGTGTCCCTTCAGGGCACGCCCACAATGCGTCTTGGGTCCATTATTGGTCTTCTGATTCTGATAACTTGGGTAAGCTGGTGTCCGATTTCTCCACTGTACAGTTAACTGTTTTCCTCTGGTAAGTAATAAGCAACTTGTGGGGAGATACTTTGAGATTATATAAACAGCTCGCTCTTCTTCGTGTATTGATGATTTGTACTGATTTTTTGCTCTGATAGTGCAAAACTATGATTTTCTACTACCGTCCATCATCCCTTATTACATTCCTTTTCCTTTGTGTGTGTGTGTATATCCATATATTTCCACATATCAGGATGAACTCATAGATTCCCCCCTGTCCGGTAGATTATATTAAGTACCATCCTTATTTATCTTTAAAGCATTTATTTATTTTTTAGAGAGAGAGAAAGCGTGTGGGGGGGAAGTGGAGAGGCAGAGGGAGAGGGACAGTCTCTTTTTTTTTTTAAGATTGTATTTTTTTATTTGACAGAGAGAGAAAGAGAGAGAGGGAACAGAAGCAGGGGGAGTGCGAGAGGGAGAGGGAGAAGCAGGCTTCCTGCCGAGCAGGGAGCCCAATGCAGAGCTTCATCCCAGGACTCTGGGATCATCACCTGAGACAAGGGCAGACACTTAATGAATGAGTCACTCAGGCACCCAAGGGAGAGACAGTCTTAAGGAGACTCTGTGCTAGTGCAAAGCCTGATGTGGGGCTTGATCTCTCAACCCTAGGATCATGACCTGAGCCAAAACCGAAAGTTGCTTAACCGACTGTACTAGCTAGGCGCCCCTGTCCTTATGTATTTTGATACCCCAAATCTTATGTGCCCAATTTGGTCAGTGGGACCCCCTCAAGCTGGCTCTGGTGTCCTTGGGGCCTGTTTCCTTGGTTCTGGAGCACTTCCTTAACTCCTTGCATGGTGGTCCTGGTCCTCTGTTTCCTTCACAACCCTGGGCCTGCATCCCACCATTTCATTTCTCTAGAGGCTCACTTCTGTCCGTGGGCCAACATATTTAGAAACTAGATCTGGGCACTAAGTGCGGTCAGTGCTAATGGGATGGCATTGCTTCTGATCGCTTTAGGTTGACAGACTAAGACACATGTATGCCCCCGCCCCCCACAGACTTAATAAATCACGAGTTTATGCTGATACCTCTAGTTCCAACCCAACCCCATAGGGTTCTTCCTTGCTCTCTGCTGTTCTGAATTTGTATTTTCCTTCTTCTACAGTAAGATCAACGTATTTCCTCACTTGCTCAAATCTATAATAAATAGAACATAATTTCAGAATTGCTGTACTCATACTACTGTGAACATAAACCTAGAAAGAGCTTTAGATTTCTTTGCAATTCTTTTTTTTTTACTTTAGACTGAGGGTATATTATGTTCAAAAGTCACTAAAATTAATTTTTCCCTCTCTCCTATGATTATGTTATTCACTTAAAATACAGTTGGGTTATTTATTCGTTTCTTTTTAGTTTAGGGTTGTCCCTATTGTTGATTTGCTTTTTGAATATGTAAAATATTAACCTGATTCCTAAGTCAAAACCATACAAAATCCATACCCAGAGAAGCACCACTCCTTCCCTGCCCTGTCTTGTTCTCTCCTAGCCCTTAGAGAGAACAAACATCAGTAGTTTCCGGTATGTATAAAGTATTATAGATTTCAAAATAAGTGATCACAATTTTTTTTTTTCAAATCACACCTTCCTCAAACTTGTAATTCCCACAGTAGCCAAAAAAGGCCCAAGTGTCTATCACTGTTACCCTTAGCAGCTTAACTGTCATCTTTATATGCTCATGTTTATATGTATTTATATGCTTGATTTCTTTCAAGTCTTGTTCAGCAAAACGGCTTCAAGTGGGAAACAGAGGTTTAGGGGAAGGACTGGTGTTACTGATTACCTGTTCCTCAGAAACCTCGAGAGGAGGAGATGCTTGCTGCTCAGACCGCCGACCGTCCTGATAGTTTATATTCCGTCGCTGACGTAAGGGAGGGAAGAGACGATTCCAGTTGATCATTCCTCCCTAAAAACAGACCAGTACACGGTGATGAGACACAGAAGGAAAACTGGCTGAATCTTTCTCTTGCAATGAAGTCATATCCATAGATTGGGACAATATCATACTGCTCTGCTGAATGCAAGCGATCCAAAGCCTGAAGTGTCATACTGCCCTCCGGCCGACAGGATGACACTGGCAGCCTGCGGGAGGAGCCCGGAGAGAAAGAAGGTAATGGCACTGCCAGAGGTATTTGTGCAACTTGGCTCTGGAAGACAACGGAGGACACACACAGATGTTCCTAACCTCAGCCCCACCGACCCCGTCCCACCTCCTCTGGCCCCTACGAGCTCGGGGCTCTGCCGGATGGGACAGGGAAGACGACACAGAGAGAAGGCTGAGTCACTGCTGGCCACCAGGAACCAGGCACCTCCACAGCCGTTCTTTAAAACACTCCTCCTCTTCTTTTCCTCCTTCCACCCCTCCTTCTCCCTTTATTCCTTCTTCTTTTAGTTAAGTAAGTTCTGAGCATGCTTACTAGAGGGAGTTTGCGGGTGGAGATAAAACCCAGCTGGAGGGATGGGGTAGAGCATGTGAAGGCAAAGCCACACACAGGGACAAAAGGTTTGGGAGCAGGGAGGGATCAGAACCAGCCTCCTGAGGAGCTCTATGGGTGACTTAGATTGATGGCAAAGTCATTTCTTGTTTCTTCTATGTCATCAATGAAGAAAAAAGCCACTATGTGAAGAAAAGTGCACACTGCACAATGCTTTTAAAAAATTCATGTTTTTAGCTATCTGCCAATATTTTAGTTTATCAATTTAAATCTCTATTTCTAGATTTAGGAAAATTACAGACTAAGACAACATACAATTTTTCCTATTATGAATATCTAGAAATAGTAAACAAAATAAGAAAAACATTTCACTTGCATAGCTGAGCACAAAAGGAAGAAAGGGAGAACCCAAGGTGCCAGAAACAATCTCTGGAAAACCAGAACAGTGAGCAAGGGTTGGGGTAAAGGGTGAGCACGCCCTGCTAACATACGGCCATCTGTTCGGGTTCATGAAAGAGGTCTCTCAGCTCACTACCTACATAAAGGCACAAGCCTCAAATGGCAACACCCTCAGTGAGAGAGAAGATGAGAAAAAAATCCAAAAGGCGCGCGGAGGGAGCTTGGCCTGCCTGAGAATTCAGAAATGAGAAATCTGAGGTTGGAGTTTCATAAATATGTGTTACCAGTTTACGAAGTTACCAGTTATGAAATACCAGTTATGAAGTTACCAGTTCATTACCAGTTATGAATTTATGAAGTTACATAAATATGTGTTTTCAGAGCCCATCAAAAGTTACGTAAGAACTGGTTCTGGGATACTGCTGCGCACACTCGAATTGCCAAGCAGAAGCAGATGTAAGACTACACTTGAGGCCCACTCTCTCACCCCGGGATTACACGGGATTTACAGATAAAACTCCAACTGGGAGTCACTTAGAATCCAAAATTCAAAACCCACGAGGAAAAAACCCATCACAACTGAGATTCAGTATGTGCAAAAAATAGAAGGATTAGATCCCCAAGAACCCATTTACTTATTTGAGAGACAGAGCACTCGCACAAGTGCGAGCATGAATGGGGGAGAAGAGAGGGAGAAGCGGGCTCTGCAGAGAGCCCGACATGGGGCTCCGTCCCAGGGCCCTGCGATCGGGACCTCAGCCGAAGGCAGATGTTTAATTGACTGAGTCACCCAGGCATCCCCCGAACCTAAATTTATAACAATCTGAAAACAACTATAATTTCAGAAGTTTTAAAATGACTAAGATATAGAAGAAAGACTTTTAAAAAAAGGCAAGATATTACTAAAAAAATATGTGAAAAAAAATTAGGGAAATTAAAAAGAGAGGCATTAGACAAAGTTGTTTTAGATGCTTGTACAAAGAAATTCAAATACGCTAGTGATAATAATACACATACATGGACAACTTCTCTATTTTGAAATGTCTCCTACCCACCCCCAACAAGCCTAAAACATCAGAAAAACACAGACAACTTGATGGAAAAAGACAAAAAAAGAAGTATCAGAGAAGTACTAACAGAAGAAAGCTGAGGTCATGTCACTATATCCCTATCAAATAAATTAGGCCTCCAGGGCAAAACAGGCATTCCTGGAGATAAAGTCACCGTGATGCGTCAGTATTATTATTATTTTTAAAAAAATATTTCATGTATAGGGGCGCCTGGATGGCTCAGTGCGTTAAAGCCTCTGCCTTCAGCTCAGGTCATAATCTCAGGGTCCTGGGATCAAGTCCTACATCGGGCTCTCTGCTTGGCGGGGAGCCTGCTTCCTCCTCTCTCTCTGCCTGCCTCTCTGCCTACTTGTGATCTCTGTCAAATGAATAAATAAAATCTTTAAAAACTATATTTTATTTATTGATTTGAGAGAGAGGGAAAGAGAGCAAGTGAGCAGGGTGGGGAGAGGAGCAGAGGGAGAGGGACAGCAGACTCCATGCTGACCATGCCGAGCCCAGCTTGGGGCTCAATCCCACAACCCCGAGACCACAACTAAGCCAAAACCAAGAGCCAGATGCCTAACCAACTGAGCCGCTTGAGCACCCCACATAAGTATGTTTATAAACACAGTGGTGCCAAACTACACAACACAAAAATTAAAAGAACTAACAGAGGAGAGAAACCACCCAGACATGTATTTAACTTTTAGCATCTATTGATAGATCAAGGAGACAAAAATTAGCAATACAGAACATAAAAAGTTATATAAGTGGGTGTATACGGGTGGTACTCAGTATTTAGAGTGAAATAGACTGCATACTTTTTATTATATATAAAATATTTATTAAAAGTGACTGTATACTAAGTGTTATATGAAATGTCCACAAACAGCAAAATATAAATACTTCACAGACTGTATTTTCTGACTGCAGTGCAATTAAATTTGAAATCAATATCAAAATTAAAAATGATGTAAAACAAACAAAAAATTCACATACTGGAAATAAAAAATGGAAAATATCATAATGAATATTAGAATATAGCTAAAAGTGGATAAAATTGAGGGGCTCCTGGGTGGCACAGTTGGTTAAGCATCCAACCATCCTCCTCAGGTCATAGTTTTGGGGCCGTGAGAGGGAGCCCACATCAGGCTCCCCACTTAGCACGGAGTCTGCCTGAGATTCTCCATCTCCCTTTCTCCCTCTGCCCCGCTCTCCACTCGTGTGTTCATGCACGTGCACGCTCTCTCTCTCTAATAAATAAATAAAATCTTTTTAAAAAAGTGAATAAAATTGAGACTACTATTTATCAAAGGTGGTGAGATATAACTAAACAGTTGATATAATTTTAAAATATTGAGCTTAAAAAAAATGAAGACTGACAAAGAGTTAAATATATTCAATAAGTTAAAAGAAAGTAATAATAATCTAAAGAAATTAGAAAGAATGAGAGCGGGTGCCTGGGTGGCTCAGTGGGTTAAGCCGCTGCCTTCGGCTCAGGTCATGATCTCAAGGTCCTGGGATCAAGTCCCGCGTCGGGCTCTCTGCTCAGTGGGGAGCCTGCTTCCTCCTCTCTCTCTCTCTCTCTCTGCCTGCCTCTCCATCTACTTGTGATCTCTCTCTGTCAAATAAATAAATAAAATCTTAAAAAAAAAAAAAAAAGAAAGAAAGAATGAGAGTAGATGCTAATTGAGAAAGCCGGGAGCAGATGTTAGTAAAGTGGAAAATAAAGACACAATAGAAGGAATCAATAAAATCCAGTGTTGTTTTTCTTTAAAAAGATTTTTAGTTTAGAGAAAGAGAGAGCACGAGCAATGGGGAGGAGCAGAGGGAGAGGGAGAGATTGTGCTGAGCACAGAGCCCAACGTGGGGCTCGATCCCACGACCCTGAGATTGTGACCTTAGCGGACATCAAGAGTCAGACCCTCAACCAACTGAGCCATCCAGGCGCCCCGAAAGTTGGTTGTTTGAGAAGTCAAGTAAAATGGAAAGCCTGGCAACTGTGATGAGAAGACAAAGAAAGGAACATAAATAGTATTAGGAATAATACAAGAGATATCATGGCAGACAGTAAAAAAATACAATACTTTATTCATACCAATAGCTTTGATGAAACAGATTATTTTCTAGGAAAATGCATTTACTACAACTTATTCAAGAAGAAACAAAAATTGGTAATCATTTTTGAAAACTGTTCAGGAGCATCTACTAAAGCTGCACACATGTGTCTACCTCTGCAACTCTGCTCCCAGACAACAGAATGCAAACGCATGTCCACCGAAAGGCATGACTAGAATGTTCTCAGTGCCACCACTTTGTAATAGGCAAAGACTGGAAACTACCCAAAGGTGCACGAAGTGAGATGGATAAATTATGGTGGAATCACATAATAAAAAATTATACAGCAGTTAAAATGAACAAACTACAATTGTATGTAGCAATATAAATGAACCTCTCAAATATAATGTTAAATAAAACACAAGAAAGTACATTCATATAATTACTTTTATAAATGTTTACTTCTATGTATACTTCCAAAAAAAGCTGCAAAAAGAAACAGAAAACTGGACTAATTTTACCCATTAATGTAACTGAAATAATACTGAAGAAAATCTACCCACCAAAAGTCTATAGGAGAAGTCTACATAACTTTTAAGGACATACTATCTTACAGACATCGTTCTCAAGAAGAGAAAAAGAGGAATAGCTCCCCACCTCACCTTCTGAGGCTATATAACACTGCATCCCAAACCAGACAAGGCCATTACCAGAAAGAAAAATTAAGACAATTTGTTTTTCCTTTATGGACAGATAAAATAATCCTAAATAAAATATTAGTAAACTCAACCCAACAACGTTTAAAAAATAATCATCTTATCTGAAATAATGTACTACATTAGGATTTATCTCAGAAATCTCAGAAAATACAGTACTGTAATTCACACATTAACGGACTGAACGCCTGTTCCACCTCTTACATTCAATACAAGTCCCAGGATAAGGAGGCTCACACTAACCAA